TATATATATATATATATATATATATATATATATACATATACACACACATACATACACACACACACACACACACACACGCTACCTTAGGTAAATCCATGAAGCTTGGTCGAGCAGTTGAAATTAGTCCAAGTGTTTTTAAAGAGCAATTCACAAGTTGTGATAAAATATCACAAGCTGCTTCTGCTGATTCCTTGCTACTGTCCACCTTAAATGGAAACAAACCATTTATTAGTCCATGAAAAAAAATCACGCCAAGCCAACTTTGCAAGAAAGAGGTAAAACAGAACAGCTTTCCTTTAACTGTAGTTCTACTCTGAAAAGTGTAAAAAACTGTGTGGGGCTGTATGTCTTACTAATTCTACACAAAGTTCTCAACTTATTTCTTTAAAAAAGGTGCTTATCAACAGAGCCCTACATAGATACAAAATCTGTATCCGCATCCACATCTACAAAAATGAACCGTGGTTATCTGCATCTATATCTGCAGAGCTCTGCTTAACAAGAGTTCAGTCATCACATACCATTACTTAAAAATTACAAAGAAACAATACAATAAAGGACCCCAGCCAGCCTACTCTCACATTTCAGAACAGAAGGGGAATACAAGGGGGGAGGAGGGGGGAAGGAAGGTAAATGCACTTGAAAGGGAATCCTCTGAACTGACATTCATGCTAAAATTCGACACTCTCCGCGGGGGGCTAAACAAAGACACCAACTACCTTACCCATTACAAAGATAGCTTCCCCAATTATCACCTCTAATACCATTAGCTCACAGACTTCTACCTTTCCCCACCTCTAATATCATTAACTCACAGACATTTACCTTCCTTTCCTTCCCTTCCCCCCCCTCCCCCCATTCTGAAATGTGATTTGTCCTTTTCATGTGTTTATTTTTTTTAATTGTATCCTTTGGTATATATGGTTGTGACTATTTTCTTCCACTATTTGATCTGAGGAAGTAGGTCTGGCCCATGAAAGCTCATCATCTAATAAACTATCTTGTTAGTCTTTAAAGTGCTACATAGTCCTGTATTTTGTTTCAGCTACACCAGACTAACATGGCTACATTTCTATTACTAGTGCTAAGTCTCTCTCTATTATTCCTTCCTGGATAAGTGAAATGTCTTGCAACTCATAATATGGATAACTACAAAAGCTATCAAGTATGTGAATGCTATATTGGAGTATTTAAGAAATACTATTGTTATCTTCAGTCACGTCATAAAATAAAAGGGCTTTAAGAATTCTTTAAATTAAACAGAACTGCAGTTAACTTGTTCAATTTCAAACCTGATTTGAAATGCAAATTGTTAACTATTCATTTTCAAAGGGAAGAATGTAAAACATGTTACCTTGAAGCTAACATATTGCAGATGATTGGAATGCCTTTTAATGATTTGCTTGATAAGCTCAGGATGTGTAGCCCTCAGATAAGATGTAGCTGGTTGATTCAGTTCAAACTCAAAACATCTCCATAGATCAGGCATATGAAACACCTGATTCCATCTTCGGCAGACCTGTGATGCATGAGCACGATCAAGAAGAGGCAAGTACTGAAACACCTGCAAAATAATGTCTGGAAGGAGATTACCCCAATCAGGACTCTCAGAGATTTTAGTGGATTCTTCATCTGCAATCTTCTGTTTCTTAGATTCTTCTCCAATCTCCTCTAATGAACTGTTTTTGTTCTCACTATTTTTCCTTCCTCGTTTCATTCTATCAGAATAAGAAAAATCTTTTACTCTACATACATCCATAGATATATAGACATTAAGTACTTTCAACACAATAGGGTTCTGGTCCCAGGCACCCTGACTGTACAAAGCACAGGACAGAATGTTCACAAGAAAATAGTTTCCTCTTGCTATATCAATGCCACGTCAAAACTTAAAAATATTGAAAATGCTAAGGCGAAACTTTTTTTTCTTTCAAATTTGGAATCATCAATTCTGTTACCTTTTTTTCCCCTTTAAGTCTAAAAAATATTGGGTAGTCTCAGAATCTGAAAACACTGCATCTTCTACTGTTACATTAAGCTTAAATTGTACTTGTAATCAAAAGATTAAACTGTTTGAGTGCACTCTGTATTTAGCTAGTTTAATATTTGTGAACTCTCAGTAGCACTTCAATGTCCTTAATTTCCCCTGTGCAGAGGCTCAAGGCTGCAGCTGGGCGAGGTGTCTCACCTCAAACCCCAGAGCTTCCACAGCTGGGGGAGAGACACCTCTCCCCAAGCCCCAGAGCTGCAGTATAATCTCCATATTGGTGCACATAAGTCATTTCACATGCAGATATAAAAAGAGGGAACACCTTTGTGTCTTACTACCAGCATATAAATATGCATTCTTACTTAGACTCTACAAAAGACACTTTATGAATAAAAGCTGCTGCTTTTGCCATTGCACATCCCCCTCACACATCAGTGAGTCTCAGTCCTGACTTCACCACTACAATTTAGGGTGGAAAAAAGAATATTTCTGATTCTAGGTCTATTCATTTGGCACCCTCTTTACTGAGGCTAAGAAGGGTGTCCATTAGTGTTAGCTGTGGAGCAGTTTAGAGACTACCCTTCATGAATATTATTGCAGTTAATTCTTGGGCTAAACATCTGGATGAGAACCACAGTTTACATTTGAGTTATAGCTTCAAATGTTATTCTATGGAAGTGAATAAACATGATATGGCAAACAGGTAGCCAATTCTAAAACTTGGGATACAAGTTCTACCTGACTTTGCCTATTGTGTGGAAAATAAGAAAAGTTATGGACAGGGATAATATTTAGGGTCAGATTTTGTAAAATCCTTTTTTAACTCATAAAACATTTTTTATTTTAACGATGTCAGCTTCACAGCCAAAATTCAAATTGTGCCCATTCATACTTTCTTTAAATGTGCTGTTGTATTAACATAATGAAGTTTTAAAAACCCCAAGCATTTTTTTTGCTGACTTCAACAGTCTTTCAAAGACTTAGTACATGAGATCACTCAACTCTCAGCTTCCTAATATCTCATTCCTAGTCCTCCAAATTCTGGGGCAGTCCTACAGGGAGAAATTTATATTTATACTTAAAATACCCCCAAACCCAAAACTTCCTGTACAGAGGACAGACATCTTCATTCAGAATATGAATATTCAGATACTATGGTAAAGGTCAATGCTATATTGTTAGTCTGAAGCTTGGAAAGTTACTCATCCATTTCCCAACACACTTTCATTTGCTAAATATTTCAGCTAACTGCATTATAAAAAGCATTATAGTTGTCAAAATAAGTGAAATATTATTGCCTATGTAGTTGCTAGATGCCATATTTACTTTATGTATCTTTTTTGTACTAAGGAATATTCATCACTCCCTTAACCACATTTCCAAACCAACCTGCCCTCACCTCACAACTCTGTATAGTTATTTAAGCATGAACCAAAGTAACAGAGAAAGTATGTTCATATTACAAAGAGATCTGAAATAAAACGTATACATATGCTGATATATTGTTTGCATCTACTTATCCTTCAACTTTCCTATTCTAGCTTAGAATTGATGGCATTTATAACACTTGCTTATTTTGATAAAGCATTGCTGCATAAGATATTTGTGTAATAAGTATTTAACTTATCTGAAATGATCTATAAATTCATGAACATAAGCCTTCAAAAAGTGATTATTACTATGCTACAATAGATTCATCTGAAATTTCTGGACAAACTGCACACGGTTTTTTATTTTAGTTTTTTTTACAGGAGGAAGCAAAGGAATCAATATAGTAATGAATAAATGTATCTGTATACAATCCATAGGGAAGCAAAGACTGGCATTCTGCAACTATACAGGAAGATTAATTAAAATTCAGGTCTAATCAAGGTTAGATTAACTGCCACAGAAGCATCCCCTAGTCAGAGTACTTCTATTAGATTTTAGTGTCTGTTTATAGAGAATGTCCAGGACTGCTCACTGGAGGGATTACAAGGATAGTGAATTTTGGTTCTCTGTCTTTCAGCCACAAGTGTACCCTTGAATCTCATACCATAGACAGAAGTGGCTGTAAGAAAACAAAATTGAGTTTTTAAAACAATTACTGAAATTTATGGTGCATATAGAACTGAACAGACAATCATGATTAGATTTTAAAATTATTACATCATGGAGCTTTTTGCACTTGAGCACACATTAAAAGCATAATTTTGAAGCAATAAAATGTAGGAACAGATACAATTTTCATTTTACACATGGATCTCAGGCCTTTTTAAAAAAGTAGGTGTAAATGTCAACATTGAGACCAGTCATAACAATAAATATATAAAAAAAGTTTTTGAACAGTGTCATTTGTCTACAGAAAAAAATTCAAAGCCATATTTAACAAAATGCATAGATGTCATTAAGGAAAAAAGGTCATTTGTATTGCAGACTAAATGTAATAAAACCAAAATCCAAACTGTCAGGTAATTAACCTAACTTGGGACTGTGTTCCTGAAATATCAAACACTCCACCATACTGAATTCTGGAACAGACAA